TCGAGTCGAGGGTGTGAAAGTACGCGGGTTTGTGTCTGATCGAGAGAAAGAGAGAAAAAAAGGGGTTAGGTGCAGAAGCGAGCAAAAGAGAGAGAGAGAGAGAGAGAGAGAGAAAATGAACACCCAGCCAGGGAGACAAATGTCATCGACTAAGCTGGAAAAATCCTCTCTCTTTTTTCCCTTTTACTCCAGTATCCAATCCTATATATATGTAGCAAAAACGGATAAAGTAATGGTTCGTGCGCCCGTCTTATACATGTAATACCGAAGGGCCAAATATGGTTTGCGAAAATTTGAGATTTACGCTCGCGCGTTTGCTTACACGTTATATTCTTCAGTTTGGCAATGCGGGTACTGCAATATTACGCGCTCCCAGTAGGCCAAGCGGGAGTCTGTGTATCTCTTGGCTCGAGAATGATGAACCTGCCCATCTGCGATATGTTTGTTGCACGATGGACTTCTGGGCTAATTATCGTTGGATTGTGTTGCAGCGGCAGTAGCAGCAGTGGATTATCTGTCTATTTGCGCGTCGACGTGAGCTATTGTGCAACAACATTCGCTTTTTCTCGAGGGTCGCGTTATGCGCTACTCACGCTTCGATTGGCGGTATTAATAAGATTTTGAATATTCAAAAGATAAGCAGCGTAAAGATTATGATTTAAACATAGCGCGATACGTATAAAAACTGATCATTGAAAAATAATTAGTATATGTTCTTTTCAAATAAGAAATAACGTGGTCTGACGCTTTCGCTATATATAAATGCACACATGCGGCGGCAACAAAGGCCGATCATGCGCCTAGTCGTCTTCGTCGTCGTCGTCGTCACGCCGCGAAGCTAAAGGCAAAACACCCATGGGGGATGATGGCAGCGAGGCCTGCGCTGTATACACACACATAGCCGAGCGACGAAATGAAGATGTACGGTGGAAAAGTTGAAAGTCCGTGTACGTACGTACGCAGAGTTGGGGTAAGTGTGTAAGCCGGCGTCGTGTTGGGCTTGCGGTCGCCGCCATCGAGCGTACATATAGGATATAGGATACAAATACGTATAGGAGCGAGAGAGAGAAAGGCGTTCGCATCTTTTCGTAGTCAACGAAGCGTCGGGTGCGCTTCAGTGGACTCTTTTTTCTCTGATTTACAATACCCCAATACTACAAAGTACATACACATTATAAATGTATATTTTTCATATTGTCTACTTTTTTCTCTTTCTGCGTCTTTTACCGTCTGCAGTACAGCAGCTTGCTGTATAGTGTGGCACGCGTATGGTGTCACCGATCCATTTTAATTCTTGCGTTTACTCAGAAAACCATAAGTAATAATCATAATTCGGATGATCGATTCGTTGATTGACAGGCGCGCGCGCGCGTTCGTGTGTCACAGATCAAAAAAAATTTTGACACGTTTGAGTGGGAAGTATCATCGCTGCCTTCGATTCTCGAGTATCGTACGTAGCATCGAGGTGCGATGATCGTGTAAAAGTCGTTAGTATATGTGCGCGTTTGTTTCATCTTCACCTGCGTCGTGATATATAATGTTAATTCGAGTGCGCAAAAGCTGGTACTCTTCGAAAGAGAGAGAGAGAGAGAGAGAGAGAGAGAGAGAGAGAGAGAGAAAGCTGCGGTAGTTGCACGAGAAATTATAATCCATGTTGAAAGATAGCTCGAATACCTGCACGGGACTGCGATTCGATAGGATTACTCGACGCTCTAGAAGCTATGAGCAAGTTTTTTTGGCATGCTGAAAGAATTTTTCTTGATTAGTAAAGGGTAAAAACGACAAAAAAATTCTTTTTGTATTCTTCTTTCTACAATTATTAATTCAAAAACCGCTGCCAATGTATTGGCAAGTAGCTTCCTCATACTTTTTTTTTAACTTAAAAATAATTTGAAAATATTAATATCATCTTTCTAATTACGAAAGCGAAACGAAAGCGCCTCTCAGCTTTATCGGGTATCTCAAACAAACAATGCAAAAAAAAAAAATTTTTTTTTAAATAGAAAAAAAAACGTTACGTTTATCGATAAATGAATTTTTCTGGCTTCGTCCCTATGTCATAACGAAAAAAATAAGCCCTCCCCCGTCACGATACGTGCTACCGTTATCAAGGAATCACTCTACACAGCCATACAGCCGCATACACCCACATACATTCCAAAATGTGTCAAAAATTCGATCTAGTATATAGAAATATCATTAAATATATCCTACGATAATTATATACGAAAGCCTAAATGTATCCCATCACAAAACTTCCTATATGAGGGAGCAAAAGGAAGAAAACGACAATTTCCCGCAAAAAAAATTTTTCCCGTAAAAAAAAATTTTTAAAAATCGAAAAAAAAATTTTTTTTCTTCGTTTATCGCTAAATACAATTTTCTGGCTTCATCCTTACATCATAACGAACAAAAAAAGCCCTCCCCCGTCACGATACGTGCTACCGTTATCGAGGAATCACTCTACACAGACATAAAAAAATTTCCAAAAATTTTTAAAAATCGAAAAAAAATTTTTTTTTCTTCCTTTATCGCTAAATACAATTTTCTGGCTTCATCCTTACATAATAACGAACAAAATAAGCCAAACCCCGTCACGATACGTGCTACCGTTATCGAGGAATCACTCTACACAGACATACAGACACACACACACACACACACACACACACACACACACACACACACACATACATACCAACATGTGTCAGAAATTCGATCTAGTATATAGAAATATCATTACATATACCCTACGATTACTCTATAAAAAAGCCGAAATGGAGCCCATCACAAAGCTTCCTCTATGAGGAAGCAATACATAAACTTACTTTATATAATCAACGATTCATATCAACGATTTTAACTCTAGGTTGGACCGGTTAAAACTGTCAAACACCAATATCAGGAAAATGTTGCACATTGCCAAAAAGGTCCTAATCACGTAATTTAATTGATTGAATTGATAGAATTGATTGATTTCGGAAAAAAGTCGTATGAATCTGAAGAGAATTTTCGGATTAACTATCAATGACGAGGTTTAATGACAATGTTTCCTTACGAATCTATTTATTTTTCTTTGATTAATTTTCCGAGCTGTTCAAAAATTACAATGAGTACAAAGATTCATTATGTAAATTTTGAAGAGTTCAGAAAGTATGACGAATAGTGCAATTATATAAACAAAGAAAATGTTTTTCTCTTGCGCGAATGAAGTCGTTTTAGAAAAGAGCCACGTAGCGGTGATTGTTATGAACCAGCTTTAAATGTTCCCTCGGATATTTGATTTATAAACACTATCATCTGGTTTGTTTACAAACGACTTTCATAATTCCCGGTACAAAATCAGACTCATAATTCTGAACTGAGACTAGTTCGGACAGATGAATAAGAAAATAATTTTCTTCGTCTTTTGTCAGAAAAACCTTTTTTTTATCAATGTAATAATTATAAACTTCGATACATGGTAAATTGTGACACATTTATTACTCTGTTTTCTTCTCGTGTTTATGGATACGGACGCGTACTTGCTTGAAAATGAAGATAAGGAGCAAAAACGATTCTATCATAATATTTTTTGGAGAAAGGCTGAGATAGGCAGTTAAACATTATGGAGCTCGATCTGCGTGGCGCAATCGACTGCTGCTTATAGATACTCGAAAAATTATAATATGCATTTAAAGGGCGTTAAAACGAGCCGCTTGTTATCGTAAACTAATTCTAGCGCGACGCAGCGTACATAAGATACTTCTGTTGTGCCCAAAGTACACGTTAGTGGTTGCGCGGGCGGTGCGCTCGTTCATTGAAACGTTCCTCGCTCGCAAGATACACATTCTCAGACGCGCCTCCAGCGCTTACGGCATCTGAACATTATATCGAAGTTCTTTGCCGTATTATGTCGCGTCGCGCAAATCTATATAAATAATCGCCAGTCGCAGCGACTCGTCAATGGTGTCTTCGCTCTCTGTACAGAAGTAATTCGTGATACGAGTGCTCAACAAACAAGACACTGTATAGAAATCTCGAATGCCGATCTCGAGCCACACACGTGTTTATACCATTTGTATATAATCGTGCACTTGCTGCTGTCGCCGCACTGATCGCAATACACGATTTTCAAGTGCGAGCGAGCTAGCTGACCGCAATTCAATGAAAGGGATCCTCGACTAGCACACGATTCGCGATATAAATGACGCAAAGATTCGTTTCTCTCTGTATATGTACATCTCTCCCTCCGCAGCGTTGATAGTATTTTCGAGTAGTAGTCATTCATCGCCGTTGGCACGGGTGTATACACAAAACGATGCCGTATCGTCGCGTGTCTATTATATATCACGCAGCAGCATAAATATACGCGACGTGTGTCGCGCGTTTAACTGCGCGCCAAGCCGCATAATGTATAAAATCGAATCGGAGCCACTCTCGGTTTCAATTGCAAACAGATGTGAGCAGCTTAGATATATGTACTCACGCTTCCTATGTGTGTGTATGTGTGTGCCTGCGTATACATGTTTACACGTGACACGTTTTATACATGGAGTAATAATAGTTTCTCCAGCGATTGCTGCAGGTTGTTGTCGTGCTGCTACTGCACTTCCCCGCTCGAGCGATTAGTTCGATTTTTCGTCCGTCGATCAAATGGTGTCTTTTAATAATCACGTTTATGCGAAGAATCTGCGAGAGATATGCGATTTTTCATTGTCGTCTGGAAAGCTCTCGTGTTTTACACGGTTTCTCGTGATTATAAGGAAAAAAAAATAATTAAATTGTATCTCTACACGTGAGCGAGTTGGAGGTCTATCAATCAAGAAAACCATTGAGAAACGTCGACATTCCAGCGATACGCATTAGATTGAGTGAATAGATTTCGCTATTTTCCGATTATCGTTGATATGAGTCGAATCATCGGCAATGATAATCTATACAAAACAAAGATTGCGTCATTTTCGTCGATCAGTATGCAAGTATATAAAGTCACACATAAAATTAATTCAGTCCATTTGTTCATTTTATGCTTTTCTACCAATGAACAATGATTTTTAACGCATTGATATTCGTCGCGAGTATTGTTTGTTGTTCTTGCGAGTTTCTTCCGTCCTTTGAGGAATATGTGAAAACCATCAAATCCGATCCACTGTTCGTTAATAATGTCTTGCCCCCGGGACTCAATTGGACAGAAACATTTGCTAATAGGCCACTTCGCAGCTACGAGAAGGTGACGGTAGTAAGTGCAAATCATTTGTTTAATATTTTCAACAAAAAATTACACGAAAATTAATTTTTGTTTCATCTCTAAAAATATTTTCGATTCAACAATCTCTGTAACTTTTATTTAGCCTAAATTAATCGAGTACCACGGATACAAAGCTGAAATTCATCATGTCACGACCAAGGATGGCTATATTCTCGAAATCCACAGAATATGTGGCAATCGTAAATTCAATTCGAGTCGAAACCAGAAGCCAGTAGTCTTCCTTCAGCATGGCATATTAACCTCGTCGATAGATTGGGTCTTAGCGGGACCAAGGAAAGCCCTTGGTAAACCTTGTATAGTTTAAAACTCTCGATGGGTATTCACTGCTATTCTGTGTAATTTTCAGGATTTCTCCTTGCCGATGCCGGCTACGACGTCTGGATGGGAAACAGTCGAGGCAATGTTTACTCTCGAAAGCACGTAAAGCTGTCAACGGATGATCATGATTTTTGGACATTTGAGTGAGACATTATATCGAAGCTTTGGAGTAATTAATTCAATAAGCAATACTTAAATGACTTTGATTGACTATTTATTTAGTTGGCACGAAATGGGAATGTACGACTTACCGGCGTCGATCGATTTCGTTTTAAAGCAAACAAGAAGAAAAAAGCTTATGTACGTCGGTTTCAGCCAAGGCACCACTTCGTACTTCGTGATGACCAGTAGTCGGCCAAAGTACAACGACAAAATCGAGGCGATGTTTGCCCTCGCGCCGGTTGCTTATTGCGAGAACATGCCCAGCCCAATATTGCAGTTCCTCGCTATATTCAGATATATTGTAAAAGTAATCATTGCTATTTTTATTCAATTTTTTGTACAAATCTAAACTTCATGATTATGTGAATGTTTTCAATTTTATTTCTTGTTCGCAGTTTGAACTTTACTTATTGATGGGCTTTACTGGAGAATTCAAACCAACCAATAGATTTTTCGAGAAATTTAGTTCACTACTCTGTAGCGATGAATCGATATTACATCCCGTATGCGTAAATGCTCTTTTCCTCATTGTAGGTATCGATTGGAATGGATTCGATAGGGTACAGTAAAGATTTTTCTTTGAAAACTTTGAAATATTGCTCGATACCGAATATTTACTCTTATGATCATATTCGAAATTAGGATCTGCTACCACAAATCTTGCACCATGTTCCAGCAGGGGCGAGCATTCGGCAATTTATGCATTATGCGCGTCTGATAAGGAAAGGTAAATCTTCTTAGTTGTGTGAAAAAAATTGTTGTTAACAATTAACGGGAGAAATTTTCCGCAGGTGGTTTTCAATCCCCCGACCGTATTGAGTACAATTTATATAAAATCAGAAGCAAGGTATTTTTGTACCACAGTAAAAACGATTGGATTTCCAGTGTATCGGTACGTGTAAAAACGTGCAAGAAAAATATTTTTTATAGATTGTGAATTACTAATTATTTTATGTATACATTGCAGGACGTTAAAGAATTATCCGATAATCTACCAAACCTACAAAAAAGGTTCCTCTTGCCTAACAAATTTTTCAATCATATTGACTTCTTGTGGTCAAAAAACGTGAAAAGAGAATTGTACGACCAAGTTATGAATGATATGTCACGATTTGTAAGTGCTTAGCAAAAAAAAGATTGTATATTAGTAAATTGAAATAACTTGACTACTTGTCATTATACTCTCTTTCATAGGAATAATCAACATTAATAAGGGCGTAATGATATGACATTTTTAAAAATAAATTACCATGAATTGGCTTTTTTGGCAATTTTTATAATATGTTTATGTTAAAAATATCGAGCATTAATAGTACTTAACTTAATACTACAAGTTCCATAAAACTAATTAATTAGTTGGTGTTGAACAAAAAGAGATTTAGACTTCAATTTCTTTGGGAGCCGAAGTTGCCACACGTGAGACTTTTCCCGTGAGTAAACAATAGAATCTGCATCAAAAGATGCAAGCCTGTCCAGCCCTTCTCTCACCTGCTCGATTGTCGCACTGTCTTCACGCTGCTAACGTCTGCAGGTGTTCTGTGGGAGGTCTAACCAACGTCGGGAGCGACGTTTCTCGCTTTGTGGAGTTGAATGCGCCACATATTTATTTTTCTTTGATTAATTTTATGATCTATTCAAGATATACAGAGTGAACGTAAAAGTTGCACTTTATAAATCTTGAATAGTAAAGAAAGTATGATGAGGATTGTAATTGTATAAACGAAGAAAATGTTTTTCTCTAGCGCGAATGAAGTCGTTTTAGAAAAGAGCCACGTAGCGGTGATTGTTATGAATCAGCTTTAAATGTTCCCTCGGATATTTGATTTATAAACACGATCATCTGGTTTGTTTACAAACGACTTTCATAATTCCCGGTACAAAATCAAACTCATAATTCTGAACTGAGACTAGTTCGGACAGATGAATAAGAAAATAATTCTTCGTCTTTTGTCAGAAAAAAACTTTTTTTTATCAATGTAATAATTATAAACTTCGATACATAGTGAATTGTGACTCGATTGCTACTCTGTTTTCTTCTCGTGTTTAGGGATACATTCGGCGTAACTGCATGTAAAATATAGATAAGGGGCCAAAACGAAAGTGTCATTATATTTTTTCGAGGGAGCTGCACTATCCATCTAGTAGTGGAGGCTTACATGATATATTGTAATTTTTAATGGATTTGAAGACTAGTCTAAATTTTTTCGGAGAAAATAAAATTTCATTTTTATTTGAAAGGCACTGCGATTAGTAATTAGCAATGTGCGCAATTTCTTTTGGTTCAAAAATGAAGTACGGCCATGACGGTGAACAAAGTTTTTATGAATGTCGATATCATCACAAGGTTCAGGTAAAACAAAATCACATTTTCAACATTTTTATTCAAATTCTAAAAAAACTTATGCCTGAAAATACAAGTTTCAAAAAAATCAACGCTTTCTATTATATCGCTGATAAGATATTATACCCTGAAGCAAAAAAGCATCACAATAAACAAGTCTAAAATTTTCTATGTTGCTCTATCTTATAACTATAACTATAAGACTATACCATTCTGTAAGGAACTTTTCGATATGACTTAAACATTCGTATGATCCATCCATTATTTATAAAATTATAATAGTTTAACTATCTTACATGAGATTTACTTTTGATGACAGAGCAAAATCGATTTTGATACAAATTTTCTTTCGCACTTGTCGCATGGGTAACCAAATAGCTTTAATCTCTAAATTTCTTCTTGCACTTGTCGCATTCGTAATCTTTTCGAGCTTCATGTACAGTCTTGTGGTGAATGCGCAAATAAGATTTTGATCCATATTTTCTTTCGCACTTGTCGCATGCGAAATATTTCCGGCCCTCGTGGACTGTCTTTTGGTGTACAAACAAACTCGATTTTAGTCCAAATTTTTCCCCGCACTTATCGCATACATGATCTTTATGACCCTCATGGACTGTTTTTACGTGCATGAGCAAAAAAGATTTTTTTCCAAATTTTCTCTCGCACTTGACGCACACCAAATCGTTCCGATCTTTGTGAACTAATTTTTGGTGCGTAAGCAAACTCGATTTTTTCACAAATTTTTTCTCACACTGGTCACATCCAAAATCTTAGTGGGCTTTGTGTACTGATATTTGGTGTCTACTCAAATGACTTTCAAACTCGAATTTTTTTTTTGCACTTGTCGCAGGTATAATTTTTTTGTTAATTGTGAATTGCGTCTCGGGTTTAAACTCTATTCCAGGGCAAATATCTCTGGACAAATATCGTAAACGTATATTTTGTCGTCCAAAACAACGATGTTATGTTCACTTCAATTATCTGTAAAGACAGCTTTCTCGGATTTTTTCTAATTTTTATCCACATTGGTATGTGAATTAAACATATGGTTCAATCTATTTAGTAAAACTGAAGTTAAATTGCTTGTATCATCAGAAAATACAGCATACAAATTAATTTATTTTTACTGTAAACATAATCATTGATATGTCAATTTATGATCATTTTGTTTACAACTAAATTACCGATTTTAACTTTGAACCAGTTTAAAATTCTTCTAATTTAAAAAATATCAACATATAACTGAAGCAGAAGGGGACGCTGTTTGCTAATTAGTTTCAACTTAAAGCACAAAAATGGGGGTTGAGCTTTCTTGTTTCCTAATTATTAGAATGTGCACAATGAATAAGGATATGTTACAGCTTAAAATAGTAATATTAATGAAAATATGATTGCACTGAGAATTCTCGTTTTTTTATGAGCTGGTACTCGTTGAATTAATGAAAATAAAACTATTTTTACAAATTGATTTTTCGATTCTTCGGTTCGGTGTTTTGCCAATGGTAGAGAAAATTTTTCAGTAAAGTTTTTGGTGTATTTTCAAGTCGTATTCTCTGAGGGCGTATCGTCTTCCTAAAAAGTGATAAAGTAATCGTAACGATTACTTCTTTTATTTTGCGGACCACTTTTCCAAATCTCATTCTAGCGTATCATATGTACAACTATATAACGCTGTCTAAAAACATCGTTCGAAGATGCTGTTTTGACGAAAATTTCCAAAAAATCTCATTGCCATTTGGCCACTAAACGTTAGTCAGTTGGAGGTCTGTCGAGAATACCTTTGCGAAACGACGACATTCCAGCGATAGGTAGATTAAAATAATAGATTCCAGCTATTGCCCGATTAACATTAATAAGCGATCGAATCATCGGAGATAAGAATGTATACAAAACAAAGAGTGTATCATTTAAATCGATTGATATCCAAGTATATAAGGTCAAACACAATTTATTCGATCGATTTATTCAGTCTCTGATTTTCTACCGGCAAACAATGATTTTCAGTGCTTTAATATTCGTCGCCGGTATTGCCTTTTGTTCGTGCGAGTTGTTTCCTCCGTCTTTCGAGGAATACGTGAAACCCATCCGATCGGATCCGCTGTTCGTTAATAATGTCGTGCCTCCGGGACTGAATTTGACCGATAGCTCAACTAATTATGGGCCATTTCGCAGCTACTTGAAATTGACAGTGGTAAGTACAGATCGATTTTATTATTTTTGCGAAAAAATTACTTCCAGTGGTACGATCGAATGAATAGATCTAATCTGACAAAATAACAATCGAATTCTTATCTCCGCATCTCTGTAAATATTTTTTAATTCATCGATGCGCACAACTTTTAGCCCAAATTAATCGAGTACCACGGATACAAAGCTGAAATTCATCATGTCACGACCAAGGATGGCTACATTCTGGAAATCCACAGAATATGTGGCAATCAGAAATTTAATTCTAGTCAAAAGAACAAGCCGGTGGTCTACCTTCAACACGGCATATTGACCTCGTCGATGGAGTGGGTCTTATCTGGACCTGGAAAAGGACTTGGTAAGCCGAAAGTTCGTGGTTTTGACGCGCGATGCATATTTAATACTTTTCGATGTGGTTTTCAGGATTTCTCCTTGCCGACGCAGGCTATGACGTCTGGATGGGGAATAGTCGAGGAAATACTTACTCCCGGAATCACAAGAGTTTGTCCCCGAATTATAGCGATTTTTGGAAATTCGAGTGAGTCGTAATCAAAGCTCTGTTATAATTGTCTCAACTCAGCAATGATTCATTTTTTCAATCCGATGTTTTTACTTAGTTGGCACGAAATGGGAATGTACGACTTACCGGCGTCGATCGATTACATTTTGAGCCAAACTAAACGAAAAAAGCTCATTTACGTAGGTTTCAGTCAAGGCACCACTTCGTACTTCGTGATGACCAGTAGCCGGCCAGAGTATAACGACAAAATCGAGGCGATGTTTGCCCTCGCGCCGGTCGCTTACTGCTCACACATGTATAGCCCGATTCTGAAGTATCTCGCCGATTATGAATTTTTCTTGAAAGTAAAAATTGTTTTACACATAAAAAATTGTTTAACATAGACTTCGAGATAAAGTTCATGTTTTTAATTTTATTTCTTCTTGACAGCCACTAATTTACCTGTTTCTGGGTTTCAAAGGTGAATTCCAACCGAGTAATGACTTTTTCCGGTTATTTGGTTCGCTGCTCTGCCACGGCGCATCAATCTTTCAACCTGTGTGTCTAAATACGTTCTTCCTCATTGTCGGCTACGATTGGACTGAATTCGATGCGGTAAATTGGGGATTTACGATGAGAAAACATTTAAAATACTCAATATTTGATATTCATTTTTGTGACTTTATTTAAAATTAGACACTGATGCCGCACATCTTGAATCACATCCCGGCAGGGGCGAGCATTCATCAGTTGACTCACTTCGCGCAGCTGATAAGTAAAGGTAAATCTTTTGCATTATTTTAAATATATTTCGTCGATCGATAACGGGAAAAAATTGCTTGCAGGAGACTTTCGGCAAATAGATAGTGGTCCAAAGTACGATTTGCAAAAAATCAGCAGCAAGATATTTTTGTACCACAGCAAAAACGATTGGATATCTAGCGTATCGGTACGTATAAAGATACACGATCGAATGCATGAAATATAAATTATTTTTTCATTTTCAGGACGTGGAGAAATTATCCGCTAATCTACCGAATCTTCAGCAAAGATTCCTCGTGTCTTACGATCATTTCAATCACATTGACTTTCTGTGGTCGAAACACGTGAAGGAACTACTTTACGACAAAGTCATGAAAGATATGTCACAGTTTGTAAGCGGATAGTACAAAAAAAAAAAATTGTAAATAATCTTTATACATTTGGTGTGCGTGATTTATATACGGATCTTAACCCTTCGCGTGTGTGTATATGTTGTACGTGTGTATGAGCAACGTCGAGCAACACTTTTCTAATTCAATAATTACTGCCATATTTCACTCTATACTATATGCGCTCTCGCATGTGCTCGCTTGTGTATATACGATGCACTGCACTTGAGCGATATAGTCGGCTACTCGAAATGAAAAAAAAAAAAAAAATAAATATATAACAGCCCATCCATCAAATCGTCTCAGATTTCAAAAAGGAAAACAATAGCCTCTATATCTTTCTCTCTCTATATATACGTATACCCTTGGCGCAGCGAAACCACTGACAGTTTGTCGGCCACAAGAGCAGCAGGTCCATCTCATTGTAAAAGCAAGTCCCCGGGCCTATATATAACACACACACACACGCGCAGTACGGTGCATGGCACGCGCTGCTCTCTCGCCCTGCCCGCCCGCGTTCAATGGACTCTCTCGATTTCGCTCTCTCTCTCTCTCCATTATCCACCTTATAGACTCGGGAGCTCTTCACAATGCACAAGCCGTGTACATTATAGCTCCGCTTCATCGCGGGCCAACGAGCCGTGAAGTGAGTGTGTGTGTATGTGTGTGGATGGATCGTCATATGCGCGCGTCCAAGTGCGGTATTATTGTCGCGCGCGCGCGGCAGATGACTTGGACTATTACTGGCGTTAGCCTTTCACCGCGTGCCGTCGAGCGGGGGCTGCGCTGCGAAATTCGGCAGCGATAAAAAAAGTTTATTTTAAAAAAGTACCGCATTGTTTATGAGTGTACATATTTATTATAGGCTGATTTTCATTTACCGTAGTCAGACTTAATGACCATCGTTTGAATATAAATTATTGGATTTTAATGAATCCGTGCCTTGACTTATACAATTATTTTGACTTTGCCACTTGCAGATTCGCAGATAAAGGTACTCGCCATCTAGTGGCAAAATCTCAAAGCGATCTTATTGCATTCAAAGTGTTTGAAATCTAGTCTGAATCTTTTTCAAACAATTGAATTAAAAATTTTCAGGTCTTTAAAATGCTTTTACTATTGTAACAGAAACCTGGCTAAAAATGGTACTTTAATTTAAAACATTTTACGTGGTCATATTTCGGTCATTAGGCCATTATTAATATAGAGCGTTTCTACCAGGGTCATTGTGTCTTTTCAAGAAAGAAAAAAGCGAATAAACGTACGAATATTCCTCGTTTACAAAAGAAAGTCGCTATCTATTATTTCAAGTATTTCTCATATATTTTTCAATGAAATAGTTGAATCACGCTGGGTTTTATTAAAATTATGTAAATATATTTTTCTCACTTTTGAAGATGCGTCGCTGTGTCAAATCATCAATCGACGATGATGCTGTGATTCATAACGTTTTTGAAAGCAGCAGCAGCAGCGATTAATCAATCAAAAACAACATTTTGACCGCCCTTGTGTACATATATTTGCTTTCTTCCGCGATGCTCGTTATATATTGCATGCGGTACATTGTACGACCTACATATTAAAAAGAAGAAGAGAAAAAACCGCCGCATCCGTCGTGTTATGCGCGCCGCGAGAAATAATTTTCCAATCGCGTTTTCATTGAGTGCGCGCAAGCCGACGATCGTATCATTGTACTAGTGAAAATCCGCGATATCCGCCGACCTTGTTTTATTTCGATCTTCGTGAATCGCTCGCTGCGAATTTCCGTACTGGTAAAAATCACGAGCGGGTTATCGCGTTCGAGTGCCTGTCTAATTTCATCGTACTTGTTTTTTTATTTTTGTTGCGTGAGCTTTTTTTTAAATCCGTCGATCGATGCAAATAGCGCGCGTCATGTGCGAAGCTGCTATTATTGTATAATAAGTGCGTCACACTCCGATTTATTTCAATGCTCGCGCAAAAAGAGAGCGAGCGAGAGAGTCGAGGCTAAAAAGAAAAAAACAGCGTCGAAGCGAGCGAGAGAGAGAGATAAAGCTTGCAAGCGTATTAACTCTCAGCAACAGCAGCGGCCGCAGCTTATTTTACAAAGTACGCTCGATGAGAACCGAACGCGAGAGAGAGAGATTGATACGCGGCGCGCGGGGAGAGAAATGGAGTGACGAGTGATATTATATACGCGCGCGAGTCATTATCAGTCCATTTTGGGATTTCTGGTCTAGCTGATCGCTGCTACTCGCGTTGCTGCTGCTGCTGCTGTGTGACGGATAAATTTTTTTTCTCACGATCCCGTGTGTTTGTGCGTCTGTTGTTGGGCAGATTTTTCGCTCTGTTATCTCCCTCTCGTCTACTTGGTCCCATAACTCTCTGCCGTGCTGCTGGTGCTGTTACTACTGCTGCTGCTGCCGCTGGCTGAAGCTCCGCGCGATATGTATCCTCGGGCTCAGTTTTTACGAAAATCCAACACGTGCTACACGTCCGCGAAACTCGGCGCGGCGCCGACGATGCTCCTCTGATAGTGACCAAAAAAAAAAATAAATAAATAAATAAAGTTACAGTGTATAGTTGTTTCAATTTCAAACGCAAATATTTATTAAGAATTAATAATTTGTTTATACTGTGCGGAGTTATACAAGTTAATATAACACGCTACTATGTTTGGAACGAGATTGATAGTTTATCTTCTGTACACATGTCTGGGTGAGTCTTCCCTCGATTATCTCAATATTCTCTGCAGCGCGTCGACGTTACATCACTCACAATCGCGCGTACACTCCAACGAATTAATAACAAATGAATATAAATAAATAAAAAACACGAATAAATAACCACCGCAGCGACGCTCCTGGTGCATCGCACCACCGTGGCCAATCTGGACCTGCCCGACAACCACCGCAACCAGCACCACCGGCAGCCGGAGCAGAAGACATTGTCATCGTCGTCGTCGTCGTCGTCATGGTGCATCGACACTTTTCCCGCGCATCGAGCCGTCGCCCTCGTCAATCAGACCCAAACGATCCTCTGCAAGATCGCGGCCGAGATCAAGATCTGCCGTTTCGAGCTGCCGGGCAAGTCGGGCTCGCTGTATCTCGAGCCGGGCCAGGCCAAAGCCGAGGACGGCATCGAGTACTGGGGCGAGGGCTTCGAGCGCGGCGAGTGCGGCATCAAGATCGACCGGGTGCGCAAGCAGCACGAGGGCAATTACACGTGCCACTTGGTGCCGGTGGATAGCCGCTCGGAGATATCGGCGACCAAGAGGTTCACCCTCGCGAGTGAGTTTTATTTATTTACTTTTTTTTTCATAATTGTGACAGTTGATACGTAATGAATCCGTTGTAACGATGTTTTCTGATTATTATCTTAGAGCCTCCGCTGAAGCCTTATCTTCAATTCAATTACGGAATGGACACGTACGACAAGACGGTCTACGAGATCGGCGAGTCGATACTCATCAGCTGCACAGTCGAGGAAGCCGTGCCGACCGCCAACGTCTCTCTGTATTTAGGTACACACAATATCATCGTCGTTTTTATTTTTATTTAAATATATATAAAATACATATTTTACTTTTTTTTATCGCGCATCATCCATATATATGTATACATCCGAGTTATGACTTTCTCATTCAAGGCGATCAGCTTCTGCAGAAATTCGTGAACCCTTCGAAAGGTCAGATGATTTTCGAAGAAATCACGGTTATTAATGCCTCTCGCGCGCTGACTTACGACGATAACGAGAAATTCGTGAGCTGCGTCGTGGATCATGTGGCGCTCAACAAGACTTATGAAACCAAGCGACAGATCACCGTTTTGGGTAAGAGATAAACGCGAGCTCTGTCTGTGTATGTGTTTCTACGAAAAAAAAAAGAAGAGACTTGTACACTATCTACCTCTGTGCGCGAATCAATTGATTGAATTACGCGATTGATATCATTTTCGTGAAAATAGCGCTTGCACCCGTTGTTGCAGAGCCCCAGATGCCGAAGATGAACGTCGAGCTCGAGCTCGGCGAGTCCGTGAGCGTCGACGAGGGCCAGACCCAGACGATACTCTGCAAAATGGACATACCGCTGAGGCTCTGCCGCTTCATGATCCCGGGCGAGGGCAGCCTCGTGCTGGACCCCGACGAGGAGTCCGTGGCCGACGGGCCCGAGTACTTCGGCGCCGGCTTCGACAAGGGCGAGTGCGGCGTCAAGCTGTCGCCCGTCAAGTCTCAGCACGCCGGCGACATAACGTGCTTCCTGCTGCCCAAGATCTCCAAGGCGCGCAAGGAGGAGTCGAGGACCATACACCTGGTCGTGAACAGTTTGAGCAAAGACACGTCGTCGTCGTCGTCCACGTCTCGATGATCGATTACATATTTTTAATTTATATGAATTACAAAATAACACAACGATAAATACAGTGTACATCGTGGGTAGGTTTTAGCTTGTATTATTGCGTATATCGCACGCGTAAATGTTATTGAAAAATATTACACATATTAGTATATAAAATATGCGTGTGTGAGTTGTATGCAGAGATATATATAAAATATGATGTATATGTTAGTGTATACGAGCTCCGACTGTTCTGATAACCTCGTATGACGTACTTAAATTAATGAGATCAGTATATTGTAATGAGTGTCTGAGCAAAAAGAGAATAGTTACTCGTATATAGGCGTATATATATGTAGGAAATGTATAATTTTAAAGCCGTGCATAACATTGACTCTATACCGAGAGCCGAATCGATCGACGTATGTCAACTAATCTTGTTATAAATATTAATATTATAGAAATTACTTACAACCAAAAAAAAAAAACAAACGACAAACAACAACAATTGATGGTAATGAAAAAATCATGTAATTTTCGCGTACTTTATTTTCATTTCTCGTTCTCTCACAAAAATATGCTTACCATCCGCAATTCTCCGTCGACGTGCAGTCTGCCGTCGCGCGTCTACTCTCTGATTCGATTAATTCGCAACTTTCGCGCGGATTTCATACATCTCATCTTGTTTCAATGTGTGTACTCGACACACTCGCGTCACACAGTCCACGCTTATAAAACACACGAGGGATTCTCCGTCTATTATATTTTCTCAAATTGATCTCGCGACGATCGTCTTCCTTCCTGTACAGTGGCAACAGTGGCAGCCTGCAAAGTCGGATATATATACAGATACAGCCGTCGGTGCGGCGCGCATAATTCGACAATTAAAATTCTCGCTCGCAACTGCTCCATAAACAAACAACGACGAGCGAAGCGCAGCGCGGCATTGGCACGGAATAATGAATTCGCGCGCGCGCGCAACTTCTCGTCGCGATGTCCCACGAGGTACTGTCCTATATATGTATGTATGTATCTCTGTGCGCGAGTGTATGCGTCTGCGTCTGTATATTTTGCAATGCACCGCCTCGCTCGATATAATGTAAAAGGAAAGTTTGGAGTCTTTCAGTTTCTCGAGCGCGCGCAATTGTGCGTATGTATGTATATCTTCTGCGTCTGTGCGCGGAGTTAAGAGACTTCTGGGACTTATTTCGCCCGTATTGTCGCTGCCGTTTATAATTGAACGCCAGCCTCGCGCATGTATTATCATTATTATTATTATATACATGGCAAAAGTTGAATTGGCCTACGCGTACGGAGCGCAAAGAAGTCACGTTGACATGCGAAACGAGATAAGAAGTCTTGATGAAAGAGTGTACGAGAACGAGTCGCGATGCTGCTGCACGACTACGACGACGACTACGACGACGTGCTTGTCACTTATGATTATTTAAATCCGTTTTACTACTTCGGGCAAATACCTCGTCGAGAAAGCTCTGCGATTGGTCTGAAATCCAAAATTTTTAATTTCCATATCTCTTCAATTTTGACGATACATTAGTAAAAAAGATCGAACTTTTTGTTTTTTTTTAAAGGTTTTAGTGTTGTCTAGAAATATTTGTACAATGATTGAGAATCAAGAGAAGTTAAGTTTTAAAAAAACAATTTGGAAGAAATTTTTATTTAGAATTCCAAAAAACATACTAGCAAAATTTTCCTAAACATTGATAATGATAGTTCATTTGCACGGAACGAAGCAACGAATATTCGTTAAAAAGGATTTTAGTACCCATAAGAATAATTAGAAATTTTAGAGGTGGAGATTCGTAAGTTTGGATTTGTGTACTTGTACTAGGATACATCCAAAAATTGGAAAGAATAAAATCGAAAAAATAAGTTCATGACTTTATTTAAATTCAATTCTGTCTTGAAAATAAGATATATTGCTTTCTTTTCGGTATTCTTACATTTTTAATTTCAGATACTGGTTATTCCATAAATATTTTCAGTACCGTTAAAAATAACATCTGCATGATTGGAACTATTTTTTTGTACACGCCAAATAATATGGCTGTCAGCTACGTATAAATTTTTTTCATAAATAAAACCCTTTTTGACATCGGATAATATTGATGGTAATGTTACAGTTGATTCTATTGTCAAGTTGTCATCAAATATTGATCCACAGACCCATGTTACATTATTTATTTCAAAATTCAACCAATTAATATTACATGAATTTAGATCGGGAGGATTTGTTTGCAGAAGTGTTATATTGTTACTTTTTTCTATAATGAAATTGTTCTGCAATTTATTAGTCAAAATATTAAATGGTGTTATTTCCCCCATTCTTCCATAACTCAATAAAAGAAGGTTGTTATAAGTTAGTATTACCATTGAGTGTACATAACCGTAGGCATTTGAGAGTTCAACATTAGAAGTAAACTTCAAGTCTTTATCATGTATTGTTAAAAAATTATAATTAGAAAAATATTTCGCTAAAAAGTATAAACGTTTCATTTCAGAATCATAAATGAACGTTGTCAGTTCCCAATTCGGATTCATTCGGAAAATTGATTCTTGTTCAGTAGTTCTTAAATTTAAGATGTAAAAATTTTTAGAATCAGAAAAGAAAATTTCAAAATCTTTTGATCCTTTGCCAAACACTATTTTGTCATGGTATTGTTTAACTTCATAATTAAAATACACTGGTAAAAAAGGAATTAAATCATTGGAAGAGGAGGAAAAATTATCGATGAACTTGCCTCGAAAGGAGTTTTTGTAAAAATAAATAAGATAGTGCACTGTTAGCTTACAAGTTTTCCTATCGTCCTCGAGGTGGTGGAATTGATCACAGGCGCAAGTATACGTATTATTAGCACCCAAAATACAGATGTGATCGCAAACACTTGGTACTTGTTGGCAAGGATTAGCAACTGTAGTAAGTTCTGATTTATTTGGAAAAGCTATAACTTTACTTACGAGTTTTTCAAAAACTAGAGTGATCTTAGAAGGCGTTTGACATAGTTTATTGACTTCGCAATACATGATATGTTGTAATGATTGCTCATCTTGTTGCATCCAAAATAATTTATCATTTTGATATGTCAAACTCGTTACGTGATTGAATGTTTCTAATTTGTAAAAAAAATGTCGAGCTTTTCCCTCGTAATTGGAATATTCGATAATGGTTTTACCAAGCACGTATATCTTTTTTGACTTGTAATCGAGTGCAAAAGAATTGATATCATTTCTTAAGGATAACGTTTTCAATGATTTACCATCCATGTTACATCGTAAGATTTCACCATTAGCTAATATAAAAACTAACCTAGCAAAAGGATCAATTTTTAGATCGGTTGCGTTCTTGAGATCTGAAACTATAACTGATGAATAATGATAATTTTGGTCGAAAATAAGTAAATGTTCTCCTTCTTCATCTAAAGCATACGAGTCTCCCGTGGAAAAATCATCAGCAATTGCCTTAATTTTTAAGTTTGGTGGAAGGGATAATCCGTTATACTCATCTGCCAATGAATGAGTCGTTTTCGATTGGTCTTCAAACCATATTAGTTCACCTTTGAAGTTAAAGTAAAACGCACTAATATAATTACTTACTTCGTGCAAATTATGATGATATTCGGTTTCTAAGTCCAGCAACCATATCGACTTTCCTTCCAGAAATAAGAGTAAATTATAAAAGTCAGTTTTTTGGGGATATCTATCAAATTCAGTCGATGTACTTTGATGCGTTGTAATCGTACTCGTTTCGGTAGTAAAAAATTCAAACTTCAATTCCTTTTTGTCAGGTGCTGTTTCACATTCTGTCTTGTTTCTACAATCTTAAAGATGAGCATATACCAATATTAATTTTCATACAATAATTTTGTAGAATTGGATAAATTTAATTACTGATTGTATATTAATATGTACCTTTATTTATCAAGTCGACTTGATTTGTAGCATCCAAAGAATTTGATTTTGTAGGATTTATTTTCAAGGATACGTTGATAATATCCATAATCACTAACATCACAATTATAAAACCAATGAAGAAATATTTCCTGTTTGTCTTGTACAACATTTTGATTTGCGTGAATTTCGAGTGTAAAAAATTGCGATAAGTTTGGTTTTCATTTTCATTCTGAAATTCTACATCTACTTCAAATTCTGATGCTGTAGAAATAAATTTATCCAGTATAATAAACAGATTTAGTGATTCATTGAAAATAACAAACCGTCTTGATTCTGTGAGAATTGCATGATTTGACTCTGCACTACTTTACAGGAACAATTTCGCATTAAGTATAACTTCACCGTAGTGTATCAGTCAGAATTGTCGAGCAACTGAGCAAAATCACATAGTGCTAATGAGAGTTTTTGTTGTTTTCGTGATAACTTCACAGTGATAAGGATGTGATTCCCACTTTAAAGTATGAATGAAACAAAATTAAAATGACGTTATATTATTACTATTTCTTTCAAGTTTTCATATTATACAGTTCATATCAAAAAGTGAGCATTCATAAATATTAATAATTTAGTTTAAATCTTGAGCAAGTGAAAGCTTAACTTATACAAATTTAGTAACGATTAAACTAATTATACTTATTTACTGTTTCATTAAAACAAAGGTTTTATCATTTTGAGTTGGAAAAAACATTAAGCCTGTCATATATGAATACCGACTGTATGGTGACACATGACAGCCGAACAACGGAGTCGCGCGTGCACGGATCAGCATTCATGTCGGCCGTGTTGCAGTGCAACAGGAATAGGACGAAGATCAGGCCTCCACTCCTGCACGAATGCGGTAAAACTGTTGTAAACGAGAGGCATCCGGGGGAAGTCGAGCGATGATCATTACACTACACGAGCATAATTGTTATCGAGCGCAATGACTGGAACCTTTTTGGCCCTCGTCTACGGCCAATATAACGCCGGCAGAACGTGGCGCACGAATAGAATCGTTAGCACGTCTTATAGATTCAAGATAGTTTGGGGAATACGATCGCGGCACGAGTACATACTAGTACGTGTGCCCGAGATTGCGTTCGTCGATCTTTTTCCTGCCTCGCTTCTTTCTTTTTCTTCCTCTTCGTCTCATTGCCGCTTTGCCGTACATAGTATATAGCTTGTGCGCGAGAGCGCAGCGTGTAGCATATATAGCCGCGCCCGGTACTATCCGTGCGTAGTCGCTCCTGTGGGGGCGTAATGCGATTCTGCGAGCCGATTTCTTCTCCGCCTGTATGTATGTAACATACGTGTATATAGACTTTAGCAAACTGCGCGAGGCTCTATTTTCATACGCTTTTCGCAGTCCTCGCAAGCGGAATATAAGGAGACTCGAGTGCTCGGGTAAGTCGTGCTTGGCAATACGAATTTCATCGTTGCGAAATCGATTTACCCATGATGGATGTATAAGTTGTTATTGTGTGTGTGTGAATAATTTTCGTATGATTTTTTAAAAAAAGCTTTAAAATAATTATTGATAAAAAATTTAACAGGTAATGGTAGCTTATGTGGCATAAATTCAACATATGAAAAAATTTTGTGAATTTTTAAGATAAGAAGTTATTGCCGCGAAAAGGACGTTTGATAAGACTCGTACATGCGTGGTGACTGTGTTGAGGCTAGGCATTAGGAGAGGGAGCTATTGTTTTTGCAGATACAAAAACTCGATTGCATTTTAACGAAGAAATGACTCTTTGCATAGTTGTTAGTTACACACGAGTTCTTTATAGCCAGCTAATTTATGCGCGGTGGTTATACGGGGATGTAGTTGCGGAACGTACAGTTGATCGAAATCTTTTTTTATCAATCATCGATGCTGCTAATTAATTATATATAATACTGGAATCAGTTGTTGGAGTTATTTCGGCAATGTTAATGAATAACTATTGCTTTGAGGTTAGCATTTTTTAACACGTATACTACTAAAGAGTAAGTACTTGGGGAAAGGTTCAACTGATTGGTGGAAAGTGGAGGGTTGAAAAATCACTGCAACAACAATACTTTAAAGAACAAATTATATTTAGACCAACGAAAAATATTTTAATTTATATACAGCAATAGCTACGAAAAAAGTGAGTAGCATTTTTTCGCATGAGTACCATGCAAATTTCAAACCTTCTTAACAATAACATTTTTCAATATTATCTACAAATGTCTTTTTTCTTGCAGTAAGAAATTTGCCAAGAGAGTAATCTTAACTTTCAACGGTACCTTCTTCTTTAAATTCTTTGTTTTGAAATCTAGCGATTAAAAAATTCGTAAGCCTTTCAAAGATACAACGAAGAGTCCTCATAAGTTTTACAATTGTGCCATTCAAATTGGCTGACCCTGATCGCAGGTCCTCCGAATTTTAAAATTACACGAGAATCGCTCGTACATGCAGCAGGCAACTCGCAAGCTCGAGTCGGCATTATTCATCGTTTCGCGTTGGCCTCTTGATTACGGTCATTGACTGTACAGAAGGAGCATGGAACCACACACGCGCGCACGATGCATACGCTATACTGCTTGCGTTCGCACGTTGCGACGGCAGTTCGCTCGGGCCAACTTTTAATTAATAAATCCGCGAATCCATATTTATATGCCTGCGCGCGTGCAGGCTGCCTATGGCGAAAGTTCGCATTAGCGCCTCGCAAACCCCCTGTGGGCTGCGCACACCGTACTATATACTATACACCTGGCTGAACGTATGTACGCGTATGTATACGTAGTGCCACGGCGTCTCTCGCGCAACTTTATTAATATCCTTATCAAAAACAGCAGTGCAGCATCAATGGCATAACGTTCAACTCCGCATGTACATGAGCGAAGACTCATCCTGGAGAGTTGCTGTATGAAGGTGAGTCTCGAGCAAGAGTTTTGCATGTATATAACTCGAGGCCAAAACAGCAGCAGAAGTAGTGTCCAGTCTGGCGCACACTGCGGACGGTAAGAATTAATGTAGCAGACTCGCGAGTACAGCATAGCTCCTATCGTCTCTGCTGCAGTCATCCAGCTGAATCTGTTATTGGAATTAGTGGCTTTAGTTTGACCGCGAGAGAGCTTTAAACTCATATATACCTTGTGTAGCATCGTCGCACACACGAGAAGAAAAATACGTTCGTATCACCAATTCGATACTTTAGAAGCTTCGATGCCGCTCGCGTCGAGCTTGCGGCGACCTCGAGTTATGAAGCTCGTGACGCAGCTAATGAAGGAATTACGATTTTGGACTCGAGTTCCCGCGGGTGACCTAGCGCCCTCGCCAGTCCCCTGCAGCTGATTCCCTCCTTTTAGTGGTTTGCGAGCTTGCGGCGGCGCATCCTATGTATTGTAGCGAAACGAACGAGTCGAGCGCGTAAGATATGAGCGTGAGCCTCTTGTATATGCCCACGTACTTGCGTACGACGGTTCGTACGTGGGTAATTTCCTTGTTTTCGTATTCGTTGATGTTTTTGTGTATCGAGATTACGATAGGTTCAACAGAGCGATCGAATATCTTTTTTATTTGGTTGATTTTATTGTTGTGGCGTTCTAATTTGAAATTGAGAGGTGAAAAAGTACAGCAGATTTGATTTTGCCAATGATTTATCGAAATTTCAGAAATAAGTTTGATTACCATGCATTTTGAGAAAAATTAATCACTTTATTTGTTCAATTTAATCGCATAATTCATTGTTTTATCTTATTTAATAATTTAAACGTTTCAAAATTTAATAATCATACAGTTTAAAAACAAAGCGCCCTTCAAATGCATCTTTAAAGGCAATCCACGAATCGAATGCGTATGTTTGGGACACATACCACTTCAGAGCCGCCTTCTGGAAAATCATCGGCAGCGTGAAAAATATGTCCCTCACGTTCGTTTCAGGACTGACGCTGATGAAAAATGCCCTCAGTTGCATAAGAAACTCGTTGGTCTCGTCCTCGTTCTCGTCACCGCTGAAGCTCAAGTTCCACAGACGCAGCAGCTTGGCGATCTTCAGCTGCGTTGTAATATCGGATCTCCACGTTAGTACATGTACATTTGCCTGACTCTTATACTGCAAAGACATTGTGGAACGTTATTGATTCAGGCTTTATTCCACTGTAGATGAAATAAACGATGGTATCGCTTTCTCGTTGTTCGATGTCTGCCTGTCAGGAACCAACTAAATTGAACACATTGACAAAATTAACGAATCACGAGACATAGTTCAACGTATAGTTTATTCTCAATCAAAATTACTTGTTATTGTAAAATCAATCGTTTGTATACAAAGCTGGATGATCCAAATAAGATTAATCATCGCGTTACAATTAATATTTTATTAATATTAAAATATTAATATTAAAATATTGATAAAATACTGCAATGGTCTAAGAAATGCAATGAGTAAATAGGTCAATGATGCAACTAATCCTTCAATCAATCAACTAATCATTCAACTAATCAATAATAAAAAATAGAAATTTTTTCAATATACTCGGATTTTTTTACGTCGTACGATTTGAAGGCCAATAACAACATTTTGATAAATTAATAGCTGACACCCTGAGGAAGCTCTGTGAATTTTTCTAGAAATGAAAGTCCATATTGAACTCGATTTATTTGTGATTTTTTTATTTATTTCAATTGAAATAAACCTTTGGCTTGCTCAAATCTCTTCCAAGTATGTTTTTTCTAACAATTTGGAAAATTTTCAACAAAAAAGCTCTCGTGGTCATTTTTTCGTGTACGCCTCTCTACATTGAGCAAGGAATTTTTTAAATACTTACGATAATATTGAACCTCGGAAAAATGTAGACTTTCGGCCTCTGAAAAAGGGCGATAGACTGTCCCAAAATTTTAACGATATTTCTGCTATCGTAAACAAGTTTTTCATGTTATCTAAAAAAAAATTTATTGTGTCATCCGACTTCACAGAAAATCGGTCATGTATAAAGTAAAAAGAAAAGACGAAGAGTCGAGTATGTGAAAGATTAAGAGTCTCTTAAACGCACAAACGATAGCGTGTGACGCAAGCACTTCGTTTTGTAGGTGATTTTCTGGTTTTTGGCTTCATTGTCGATAGTACAGTGATCAAATGGTAAGAACTTTTTTTTGGTTATTGTTCTTATCATAGCATCTAATATATCAACGATGCTTTGGTCGTTCCTCGAAAACTGAAAGTAGCAGTGTATTGACTTGGTTGTGGACTTATCAAAAATACAGAAATAACTTTAAGTAACAGTATTTTATAACAAGATAATCACTTTTTTTATTCAATTTAATATTACATGCAGGTAAAAATTCATTTATTTCATTACTTTGTTTCATTCAACTAGTTCAATTTGTAAAATCAATAGATAAAATTATCTAAGAACAAGTTCGTTAGTTATACTTATAAAATACATCGCTCTCGGCATTTACAATCGAAGATCTCTTCGTCAAATTCATAATTGCTTTGTTTTATTCAATAATTTGATCAAAATTTTAAAGAAAGTATCAAAAAAGAAATTATTTGTTTCACTATTCAACCTTACGATTTTACAATCGATGATTGTGATTATCATCTTTTTGTTTCTTGGATCGTTGTAAGTTGACTTCGTCTATTCATGCCCATTCATTAGCCGCAATCCCTCGATGAAGTACGCCCGAAACAAGTCCTGGAATTGGCTCCAAGTATGTAACCTGGTTTTCCAGCGCACGTACCACTCGAGAGCCGATTTGGTGAAGACGATCGGCAGCGCGTAAAATACTTGCCTCTCGCTGATCTCGCTCCTGATGCTGGAGAAAAATTCCCCCAGCCGCAGAATGAACTCTTTGGTCTGGTCCTCGTTCTCGTCACCGCTGAAGCTCAAGTTCCACACGCGCAGCAGCTGGGCGATCTTCAGCTGCGTCGAGATAACCGATAAATCGCCGTCGATCGTCGATGGGGTCGTCGGTTGGGTTAGGAACATCAATGGGTTTCGTTTGTCTGGCTCCGGCGACGGTGTGAGCTCGCGTCCCTCGGGTACCACTTGAGCTGCACCCAATGAGCCGATCTGACTGTAATACATCGCTGAGCTTGTCGCACGCACCTACTCGTCGATCTGCGATACGCAGATTAAAATTAGTAAACTCGAAAATGTCGAGTCGTAATATACGATGGTATTACTTTTTCGTTGTTTGATATTTGTGGGTCGGTAGCTAACTAAATTTGACACATGGTCAAATGAACGTCTAGTGTCTTCTCAATTAAAGATACTTGTTATTGTTGATGAAGCTGTTTTGTATACGAACTGAGTAACTATTCGATCACTGTGCTAGGTTAATTAAATGAGAGATCGATTATAAATTTCTGATCGAGCTAAAATTAATGAACGCGTTAATATTTGATCTTAATTGTAGTTGCATTAAATAATAGCGGAACGTTTCCAACTATATGATTAAGTACGTCGATAGATTTCAAGGCTCGCTAAAAAATCTATTAGATATTGTGGAATATTTCTGGGGTACAAACTTTTCCATGTTGGCAGAAAAAATATTTATTTGGCCAATCGTCATCACTAACTTGATATTTTCTTTGTGAATCGTAAATATAATGCAGCAATAAAATCGCTGAGCTTTTTTTGGGTTAATTTTATGTTCATGTGATTGGTCAATATGACTCTAAGATCGCTGTGGGTCCGTTTTCTCGTACATGAAATAAATGAACAGTGTCTTAGTCGTTCCTCAAAAATTCAAAGCAGAAACTTATTTACTTGGTTTTGTTAATGACCTATCAAAACTGCATAATTAACTTCAGGTAACAGCATTTTATAACAAGATAATCACTTATTTTATTCGATTTAATATTACATGCACGTAAAAATTCATTTGTTTCATTACTTTGTTTTATTCAACAAGCTAAATTTGTAAAATCAATAGATAAAATTATCTAAAAACAAGTTCGTTAGTTATACTCATAAAATACATCGCTCCCGGGATTTACAATCGAAGATCTCTTTGTTAAAAAAATACACACCGTTCGACGGCAATCACAAATTATTCATAATTTATCAATTACTATAACGATTTATAATAATTATAAATTACGATAAATTATAATTGATCTTTTTCATTTCGTCATCTTCTACCGATGAAATACCTCCACCAGTTGATCAAGTATTGAAACGGCCGAAAGGCACGAATTCTGACATGTATAACAGTTTGTCCTTGGACTGGGCCGGGTTCCACCGGGTTCGCCTCGTAGATCCTCGGTTCTTCAGTTGGAGTCGTTGTCGGCGTCAGAAACTTCATATCGAATTCTAGGCTGAACTGGACCCACGAGTCGAATTTAAATCTGTTCAGCCAGAACCAGGCTAGAGCCCCCCTCCTGAATACGATCGGCAGCCCGCGAAGTAGCTCCCGATCGGGCACGTCGCTCTCCATGCTGGATCGACACAGCTGCATACGCACGTAGAATTCAGCGCTGTCCGCGTGGTTCTCCTCGCCGCTGAAGCTCAAGTTCCACTGGCGAAGCAGCTTGACGATCTTCAGCTGCATCCTGAGACCCGACGGCTCCAGCTGGTACGGCGGTGGCGGAGTTCGAGGACGAGACATTGCGGGTGATACGCGTTGATTAAGAATTTTTTATTGGTCGGTAAAATTCAATCGCAAAACCGATTGGTATCACTTACTCGTTGCTCGATGTCTTGGCCCGTCAGGAGCTAACTAAATCAGACACATTGCAAACATTAACACGAGATACAATCGAACGTGTAGGGGCTTCTAAATTGAGATGTTTTGTATACAAACAAGAGTAAATAATCCATCAGTGGGTCAGATAAACTAAATGAGAGCTTAATTATATGTTGCTGATCGAAAATTGACTGTGATAAAAATATGTCAAAGGTTCAACTGTTTATTGTTATTTTAAAAAAATCATTAAACATCTAATTCAATGTAAATGTCGAAAAAAGCCGACGATCAGCCCGAAACTTCGTTAGCATATATGATGACGCGGGTTGTCCACATGTGAAGGGTATGCAGCATAAAAGACGTACGCTATGCCTTATGAATAGCCTCCGTAACGAATGCATATTACAGTAAATATAAGCCGCTGTAAGAAGTATATGAGAGGGGGTCCGTACGAGCTAGACCGTACGACTCCAATACCTTATATTCTCCATAACTAATCGTGATTTTTCGCGTTGAAAATTATATCGTGAAAAAAAAACATGACAGTTGCAGCTGGCCCTCGTTTCGTCATCGCGAATTATGGATAATCGACGATTAACGGCCAATTAGCGTATCCGTATCTCGAAATTTTTACTAGACGCGCAGTGATCGATCATTCGCGAACTACAGGCCATAGCATGTGCGACGATCGTCTCGAAATCGTATAATATATCATATCACACTTGCTCGGGCAGTTGGTTCTATATATCATCTATGCACGTACGTATCATATGCACGCGCAAATACAACGAATAATAGCGACTGGTAAAAACAAAATTGTATCTATTGTCAAGGCGCGCGAAAAACTAAAAGTATATACGGGCGTATGATAATTATTGGACGCGTGTGCGTATATATTATATTATACATAGTAGTAGAGTATAAATTCGAGGGTGTGAGCGAGTGCCAATTTGTAAGCAGAGACCCCACGTAGTGCTCGAGAGAGACAGAGAGCAAGTGTGTGCCAGAAAGAGAGAAGGAGAGGTGCGTATGGTATACGCAATTTGCTTGTTTATATATAGACACGGTGTTTGATTAAAACGCCAATGCGCTTTGTACAATTGCACGGCTGGGTATTACTCTCTCTCTCTCTATCTGGCACATACACAGACATACACACTTATAGTTATGATGATACACGCCCTCGTGCACGCGATTCATAATGCAGCAAGAATTTTTGGGATAAGAGCAATCGAACTAAGCGATACATAGTGGCCCGTTATGTGCAGTTTTTTATTTACACTTTCCATTGAAATTCTCGCGCGATTCTCAACTTTTTTTTGTCGTTCATTTATTATGCCCCTGTATATACAATGTACAGGGCGAAGACGAAGCAGTCATTTTTCAAAATTGATTTAGCTCGCTCGACGTATTATATATTATATAAAGTGTATTCTAGACGGACGTGGTGCAGGAGATACGGCGGCCAAGAGCTGCAGCAGCAGCAGCAGCAGCACGATGTTAGTTTAGCCTCGCCATAAGGCTTACTTAGTATATTATGACGTATACATACACTGGGCTCTCTCTCTCTCTCTCTCTCTCTCTCTCTATCTCGGAACATTGTATCAAGTTGAGAGCGCGGTCGTACACGGCGTACGGTGCACAGGCAGCCTGAAAACCGTCTGAATGTGTGTGCGTGTACGCCGAGGGTTTGTAGCATAAGGGGGTGGTGGTGGTGGTGGCGGCGGCTCGTGGCGGTGTACGAGATACTATACTAGACAGCAAGAGAGAGAGAGAGAGAAAGGTTAGATATACTAACAGATGGAAGTGTTAATAATTGATAGTCGCGCCCCTCTCGTTGATACTTTCTCTCTCTCTCTTATATGCCTACGACTTCGGACTATTTCGGACCTAGATAGGGCGGCTCTGTAGTGTTGTACCACTACTCGAGCTTAGAAGGGTGGCAGTTCGAGCTCGGCTATATATATATTTATTTGTGCGTGTGTGTACTTGTATATGTGTCGTTTCATTTTTTTTTCGCTGCCTTCCTTCGTTTCCACCTTGCCCTTTTTTTTCTCGCTCGTTGGAGATGCGAATGCCGGTGAAATGTGTGCACATACGCGGGGACTGCACGACCGTTGGGCGCGTGTATGTCGTGGCATTGCGTCGCCTCCGCCGCCGCCGCCGCCGTCGTCGTCGTCAAATTGATTGCGCCCAGAAATGGTCCAGTGTGCGATATAGCTGTTAAATATTTACCATCTAGATGTGTATGTAAGAGAAAGACAGAGAGAAGAAATGGTATAAGAGAGAATCGATACGCGCGTGAATTGGATATGGAGCTCATTTAAAATTATAATGATTGGAAAAGAAGAAAACATCATTTTTCCGCTTCTACTGCTGTATATTGCCTTTTTGGAGAAGGGTGGGCGCTGAGATGTATTTTTTACTGCTACGGTCATTTGGAATATTGGATATCGCAGCTCGAGAGAGAAAAATAAAGTGATCGATTTCAGGAGGGCAATGTCAACTCGTTCTGTCTCCCTCTCTCTCTGCAGCAAAGAATACGAGTCGACTCTTCGCGCGACACGATTGTCGCGCAGTATCAGAAGAAGGGACACATCAAACAAGGGTCGAGATACGCAAAAGTTAGCCGGAGAGAAGGTTTTCTCGCGCGTCGTACATATATATACGCCTTAGAATATGCATATACACCAAGCTTATGGCGCGCTTATGGCTCGAGCTAGCGTTCGAGCGAGTCAAGGCGACCAATGCGCGCATGTATAATGGACGCATTAGCTGCTGCCCTCCGACCGCGCCAGTTTAATTAGTTTACATTACGGACTTGCGGCTTCGCGTCGTCGTCACCGCACACCTACTATATGTACGCCCGAGTCAATGAAAAGGGGTTGTGTGTGACTGCCTCGCGCGCTATCAACGAGCTCTGGACGTTCTCTCTCGCTCTCTCTCTCTCTTGCTTCCACGATGGTTTGCGTGCGTGCGCTGTTTACACCGTCGCGTTGATTAATCGGGAAAGTTTGATACGCTACGTCGTCGTCGTCGTCGGGGAAACGATAATCACGCCTCGTTTAGTGGCATAACTGACGCGCGATATACCTTCCAGCAATCTTCGCTGCGCGCGCTAACACTGGGCTCTGTGTACGTGTTATTACGATGTCCTATACGTACACTTGCATTGTGTATAAACACGTGCACACACACACACATATACAAACATACACGTGCATGTGTTTCATGGGTTTTTATCTCTCGTGGGACGTACGAGACCTCCTCTTCCTACTCTCCCTACTTCGCGTATACGGAGCGGCATTGAACGTTTATTTCCTGCGCCGCGCGCTACTGCTGATATTAGACATGCAGATTTGATAAGATGAACTTCGAGAGTTTTTGATTTTTGTTAAGTGTCCCGTTCAATTGTTCCTAAAAATGTCATGTTCATCGCTTATACTCGTGACTTGATCTCGATCGATTCGAATTATCTATCCTAAAAGAAATCTCATGTGCTGCAGCTGTGCAGCTGTTTTTAAAATTTTAATTGGAAAATTTTTTGCGTTTCTTTTAGATTACGACTTTTGTACGATGAATAATGAGGCATT